ATTGAACCGTTCGCATTTTCATATGACTGGCGTACTTAACATTTCAGCTGAACGTCGCCTATGAGCCCGCGAGATGTTTCCATCAATTTGTTTATCATGCAACCGAAAAAAACGAGATATATGACTTTAGACAAACAAGATTACGAAGGGTGACTGTATTTTAATTTTTTTTCTTTTGACGTTGTGCCATATGTTCTAAGAGTAAATACAAAATTCGGTGGTTTCACGAAACTCGTCGCTATTTCGAGGGGAAAACCCTTTGCATTCAAAGTACTTCACGTGCATTATGTTGGTTTCGTGCAGGTCGTAAAAATAACAAGATTTACTTCTGTCACAGCTTCTTTTAACTCAATGTCATTCAATTTTATGTATTTTTTTTTTCATTTTCAAAATTACAGGCAATTTTATGAAGAGCAATGAGGTAATTGCGCGGTTCAGGCAATTTTCGGTGTGCCTCTGCGTATTTATTATTAATATTGACCTTTATTTTGAACTCGTGTGCCCTTTTTCTCTCTTACGAAACCGTATAATTTAATTTCGGCAACTTTTTTCACTTCAAATAATTGTATAGCGAAAGAAAGAACAAGAGAAAGCTAATTTTTTTAATTAAAAAAAACATATTCGTTTTCGTATTCAATTTGCGTTAATTTTGAAGGTGGATTAAATCATATCAAGTGAATTAAAAATTGAAAAAAAAAATTAAAATAATTTCTAAATCCAAAATTCAAGTCAACTAAAACGGTGCTTGAGCTCTGTGAAATGAAATGGCTAACACATAAAGGGCTCTCCCGTGGAGAAATCTTCTTAATGAACTCTTTATCTCTCTCGCTCTCTCTCTCTCCGCATATATCACGACTCTAAATTTCACTCAAAACCATAATCATTGCACACGAACACGGCACTTGTCTAAGTTTCCACCCATTCAATATGTACGCAAAGTAATCTTGGAATGTCATCGCTTAAACGGTAGACCACTTAATTTAAAGTCGTCTGTAGCTTATGGTTGGGCTTGATTCTTATATGTACGCGTACCATGACCAAATTCAAAAGTCGACGCTGCATATGAAGAAGAAAAAAACTTTGCTCAATTGTAGCATTTCGAAATGGAGTGTCATTGCTGTAAAGGGTGTTTCAATAAGAGTGTCCGAACTTTAAAATGAAATAAAACACAGAAAATATTCGAATATATCCGAGTTGTTTAATGTAATTTGTAGCCCTATTCATAACATTAATAATGGAAAATTATATCATCCAAATGACCACCCCGGTTGCGTTTTAGTGACACCACCCGATCGGCCCAATTTTTGATGACATTTTGGCACATTTAGACTGGAACACTGGTGATTTCGCATCCGTATGAACGGTGCAGTGTGAATGCTTCTTCTTCTTAACTAACACATCTATACATGTAAGTCGCCATATTGGTTATAATGTTCACAAATGGCACTCAATACACTGTATACATTTTCAATATGGCCGCGCCCATTGTGTACGACAGTGTGAAGAAGAAGAAGCAGTATTATAAGAAACTGTGTATGGGTTAACATAGGGATGTGATTTCGTGACGAATGTTGGCCTTTAAATCCTCAATCGTCGACGGATTATTTGCATAAACTTTTCCTTTGATAAAACCCCAAAGAAAGTAGTCTAATGGTGTTAAATCGCAAGATCTTGGCGGCCAATTCACAGCACCATTTTTCGATATTACGCGTTTGTCAAACTTTTCGTTCAAAACCTGGAATGTTGGTGGACTTGTGTGTGATGATGGGCCGTCTTGTTGGAATAGGAGCCCATTGGTTCTCACCCGACGCAATCTCGGCCAGAAATATTCACGAATAATGTGTTGATATCGCTCGGCATTGACATTAACTCGCTGTCCATCTTCGTTCTCAAAAAAGTACGGGCCAATGACACCTCTCGACCAAAAAGCACACCAAACAGTGCACTTTTGCGGTTTCATTTCAACGTCTTGAATGTGCCGAGGATTTTCCGCGCCCCAAATGCGACAATTCTGCTTGTTAACATAACCACTTAGCCAGAAATGCGCCTCGTCGCTGAAGATGATTTTCGAGCCAAAACATGAATTTTGATGGTAAATTCGAATAATTTCGATTCGTTATTTGATCGAATAGCGATACATGGTTAATTTGTTGGACCTTACTGAACACATCTGTCGAACATTTTGACAGATTGGATGCCCCTGGTCCCTATTGGAAAAATAGAAAGTTCGGACATCCCTATTGAAACACCCTTTAAAACCGTCAGCAAATTCGCTGCATGTTTGTCGTTTGAGTTAAACCGCTCGGCTTCAACCCATGTCTTGTACAAATTTATCTGTTGGCGTGGCCGTATTTCTCAACAGAACACTGTCTTCCACAAAGTTTTTGCATTTGTGCATATAAATCTGGCGTTCGTGCAGCAGACCATTATGGAAATTTTATCAGTTTTTGCATTAATTAACCGTGATTTTCTTCTGAGCACTGATTCAATTCCAATTGGATTTCATGTAGCAACTCATTGCCTTTCCGATTGAATTTATTTTTATATTCATAACTGGGTTGAAATAAGCATAAAAGAATTGCAATAAACTTATTTGATTTCAACAATATCCTTTCATTATATTCATTGAATGTTGAATTTCAATTAGATTCCGAAGAGAGAATTGTGAAGAATTAATAATTGTTTTGGAAATTAAGAACAAACAAGCAAATGGTTCATGGTTGAAGTGTTCTCCGTACTGTGTGGAACCGTACAGTGAAAAAAGTCAATATGTTCATGTTTTAGCCATGAAATAATCGACTTGTATCGGAATATGACGACGACAATAACAATAATAATATACTGATAAGGAAACATTTGATTTTCCCAATTTCGTTGCTTTGTAAATACATTTTATTGTGACAGTGAGATTAAGGCTTTGAAATGATGCTGACGGTGTAGCATTCAACCCTTCGAAGATTTTCGAAATGAAATGAAAGCGAGAGCCAAGATAAATATTAATTTAACTAATTCAAATGATTATTTTGAAGTTCGTTTACAAATGCGTCGAGAAATTGGATGTAGAGTGCGAACGATATCATTTGCAGCTTTTTCAAGCGATTGGGGCCTGGCTAAAGGCTTTTATGCCCTTTTATATTTATCCGCTTTATTTCGGTCGGTATTAAAACACTTGCCAGTATATATGCAGACAATAGAAATTATATGAATGTGGAATGAATTTTACATCCTTGCTCCTGGCTACATTTCCCATATATTTATCCCTTTTATTTATGGAAAATGTACTCATGCGAATAATGCGCAGCATTGACAATAATGACAAGCTTTCGTTGAACACAACGAGCGATTTCAAAGTTTAGCTGTTGAATTAAGTTTTCAGACGGTCGGACGGGCACTCGAACAATGCACTTAGATTTTATTTTGGTCAAATGTGTCACAGACACACACACACACTCGATTCACAACTTTTCGACTGTTTACTCGGTTCGGCTAAATTAGAAAGCACTTCCACAGTCTATTTGTACAAAGAGAGAGATAGACAGAGAGAGCAGCTGCATTTTCAACAAAATATTCGTCAGAACGGATTATCGCTTCCATTGTTTATGGTTTTATTTTTAGCAGAATGTTTCTTTTCTGCATCGTATAAAACGGTGTCAATTATTCCAACAGTACAATAAATTATTCTAACTTTCCAGGGTTAGTTACCTTCAAACAATGTTGAATTGAAATAGGAAGCACAGTTTTGGTATAAAATGAAATGTGATTCATGTTTACTAGCCATGCCAGTAAGCGCATATGACCTTAAATGTACATTTCAAACCGTTTTTCATTACAATTTAATTCATTCAGTATTATTTATGGTTAGTGCGTGTATATTCAATATAACGATGACATAACTATTATGGAAACTCAATTATTGATCAAATGACAGGGTTCATCTCGAACGAATTTAGACAACAGTTTATCACATACATGTGGCTAGCGACGATATATTCAATAAAATGTGAATTGAAAATCCATTTCGTAATTTAGAAGATTATTATGAATATGGAAACGGAAAATGGTCCGAAAATGTCGGAAAATATGTTGGAATATATAAATTTTATTGAATAAATTGAACGAACGAACGTGCATGTCGTTCCTTTGAATAAGTATTATTGTTGATGAGGAATATGATCCGAACTGGTATAAGAAGATAATAAGACACGAAACCAGGGTTTCGATTGAACCGATCGAGCACATTGAATGGAAAATTGATTCACATTCTCATGAAAAAGACGAAAATTAAATGCTTTTCATTCCTTTATTTCTGTCTGTCACGTTCATTTGGGTCAAAGATTTCGACGGAAATACTTTGCTATGAATTGATTCGCCGGAGAACGAAATCATTTGAATACATTTATGAAAAATAAACCGATAGAAACAGCGATATAGAAAACATGTCAGACTTGTTTGACTGCGAGTATTTTGAGTGTTTCCCTGTGTGTGCGCCACATTTTACCATGGTTCGCTCGAGTTGAATAAATGAATGAACATGCCAAAGGAATAAGAAATGCATGAGCAACGGATAGTTGAACAAAATCTCTTCACCAATTGAAATTCCGTGCAAAAACACATCGCAACGAAAGATGCAAACACAATTTATTCAGAACATCGAGTTTGGTACAATCCTAAAGCTATTTCTCTTTTTTTTGTATTCCAACGTATATTCGAAATGATGGAATTGCAACAGAAACTCATATCTAATGGAAAACGATTCATTTCTAAATTAAGCAGCGGATTATACAAGTACATGTTTGAAATACAAATGTCATTTTATTCCCATGAAACACCATTAATTTCTATCCAATTTATATGAATAACGAGTTGCGTTCGGTTGCAAAATCCAAATTAATGACACGAATTTCATCATATTTGAACAATTGGATCTGTAAATTTGAAGGATTACATGTAGCTTGGAAATGTCACTTGAATTTTTAACAATTAAAACTTCACCGTTTCAGGTATCAAAAATTTTGCGGTAAAATCTCCAAGTGGCAAAACTTACAACCGAAAAATAACGACCGGTCGGTTGAATTATTCACAACTTTTGACATTATCACCTCGGATTATATATATGTGAGTTGGAAGAAGTGCGACATGAGTCGATTCAGAGAACCACCTGCCGGCTGCATTTTATATTTCATGCTGTCGATCGCGATTAACCTGTTCATTGTAATGCTGCGAATTTCGGCACTCGAATTGCAAAACAATAGCACTTTGGCGACAACAGCAGCGACGTACATTCTGCCAACTCTCGATGCGACTGGCGTCATGAGCTCCATAACAACGGCTGAAGTTTCAACTGAAACTGGTAAGTAAATTGATCAACAAAATATTTCATCGAAATTCTGCGTAGCTCATTGTTTAATTACTAATTATTGGCTTGTCGTATTCATTTACGTCGTTTCTGTATTTTTTTTGCTTTGTGGAAATGTGCAGACGGTTGGTCCATTCAAATCTGGTCCAAGTTAATTCAGTTGAAAGTGAAATTTCCATTTACATCATTGGTTTTACTGCCTAATGAATAATAGATAATGTATAATAATTTGTTTCGCAGTCAAACAAAAGTCAATGTCTGCTCAAAAGTCAATTGATTAAGACCAACATCACAATGTGACCCATTTTCATCGAACGCTTGCTGTTGTAATCACTCATTGCAAATTGTTGGCGCACTCAAATCATACCAATTAGATACGCCCAACGGCTTCTACTCCATCAAAACCAAAACGACTGGCAAATCATCTTCTTTGAATAAAAAAAACACAATTGGAATAATTTAAGGCATTTATTGTTTTCGTGGCGGAGTTTTTCTTCTTCTTCTTCTGCTTTTGTTCACAACTTAATTGCTTGCTCATTGGTTTCTGAGCTATTGAAGGCCAAAGACTCACGGTTATACTTTTTATGCTGCCCACAAAACAAACTCATAAAATTCACTCCGTAGACGTGACTCCACCAACTCCAACGAGCATTTGCATATTTGCACTGGAACGCGATGGCTGTAGAACGAACGCGTGCATTTGCACGAGTTCCCACAAAAGCCAAAGCAGTAAACATAAATTCATAAATGTAGACATAAATCAATTGAATTACCAGGCAAAAGAAACACGAGAGCGAAAAAACACCGCTCCGCTTGAGATAGAAAGCATTAGAATACAAATGCACGGCACATACAGAGAAGTGCATTTAAAGAGAGCGCAAATCGCAGAGCAACAAGAGTGAAGCTCAATAAAATACACACGGCAACAGAGGGAAGAAATCTTTGCAAAATAAATATAAATAAATGTCTGAATGCCAACGATGCACGTATGTGCATTTAGTTCAAATGCACAAGTTCCACTGTGAAACTTTTGATCGAATACCTACGAATAGCGGTGAGCAGACAATGGAATCGTTGAAAAATTTCACTTCGAAGGCAGTGTCCGAAAGCATGTTCGAAAGCTTTAAAATGACGATTAAATTTGATTGTTTTCATATTTTCCTCGTTTTTATTTTTTGGCGACATTTTTGAACTTATCGATATTTCGGAGCAAACGGTAGAAAATTACTACACATATTTTTCCCACAACAAATAATTTTCATATCTTATGTGTTTTAACTGATAGTCATTGGTCAGAATTCGAATCAATTTTTATGTGGCACATATCGCATTCATTCCACGTGTGTGAGAGAGAGGGAGTGTGTGGATGTTCTCGCCATAAACTATTTGCTTCCTCAGCTTTTTATTATGCAATTTTTATTTGAACTGACTTACTTGTCGTTTTTTTTCATGTGAAAATGTTTTTAATGGATGTTCATTGTGAATAATATGTATTCAGTGAATGTTTCGGAATGGAAGCATAGCATAAGCATAAGCATAAGCTGCATAGTCCCATTTGTGTATATTGCTGTGCTCGTTAAAGCATAGCACCAAATAAATCGAGAGATGGGAAACGTTGATGTTTTCTTACTGCTACATTTTGTTCAGACTGAAAAAAAAGGAAGAAGAAAACGCATTCCAATGGGATAACGTGCAAAAGAGAATGAAAACTTTTGCTTTATTATATGTTTCACACAATGAACATGCTCATTTTTTACAGTTAAATCGGTCAAAAGTTATTGAAATATTGCTTATGTTGCGAAAAATTGAATTTATTCAAGTCGGAAGACACGACATGTGTGTATTTCTCTCTGAAATTGCTACTTTGTGCCTTTATTCCCATCAACACCGCATTTGCTTCGAAGCAATTTTATTATCTGCTCATAATCTCTCCCGCTTTCATCCCATTGAAACTAGATTTTTGAATGAAATAAATGATTAAAATCGCACACACACCGAATCCATTTAATGACGATCATGAGAGATTTATGCTTTTTTCACAAATGAAAACGATGTCATTTGAAGAAAGTGAAAATTTGCGGAAATAAAAATGAATTCTCCTACAATGATGCTGAATCACTGTCGAATCGCAAAATGGAGCCACATAAAGTTTTTATTTGCAAAATCGCACGAACAATTTGGTTGTATTTATTGTAATTATGACATCTTAGTTGTATTTTATGGCCTGATTAAACACGAATGAATGTTTAAACAGCCCGAAAACTAACTTATACTGCAATATTGTGAGTTGCTTAATCGCGCCAAGTAGCAAACAGAAAAGTTTTTTTTATTTTTTATGCTATCGTTGGAAATTTAGATCAGCAGACTACACTTGCATTTATGAGCATTTTGTTAATTCGCTGGCATTACATCGACTTTATTCGTTGAGATGTAGTATATTGCTAGTCTTTTAATCACATCGCGTTGACTTCAAAATGGTAATGCACAAAACCCGAAGGAAAATGCTTAAGAAAATAAACAAAAAAAAGGAATTGTTGATGACTTTGTTCTAATGCAACACATTTTTTTCTCGTTTCATGTCTTGCCACCCACGCAAAATTAGCCATTACATCTGCAACAAACGCTTATAATAAAAACACAACGGATGCGGATTTACAACAATTTACTACAAGTTATCAGCATCAAATGAGCAAAAATTTAACACCCGTTGAATATGCACCACTCGTAGCATCACTTGTATCGAATGAACAGCCCGACGACGATGCAAACGAATTACAAGGAAATGAGGCCACGGCTCATGGCCTGAGCAACGTAGTGACAGTGGCAACCGTAATTTCAGTATCGAATGAAACCCAAGCGATGGTTGGCATCGTCGCAACGGCTAACATTCAAACAGCAAATTTATTGCAACGAAATGCAACCGTCTCACGGGATCAATTGAACTCACGTACTGTAATTAAATCGTCATCACCATCTGCAATGGCAAACAATAATTTGACGGTACAAAAACAACAGAAACCAGATGCGCCCATGTTGAATTACATTTTTGATTCACATTTAACAAACAAACATCGTCACTATGATCCAAGGTATGTGTGTATCATCGTTCGGTTGCGGGAGCCGGGCGGTCGAAGACAATTTTGCAACGATAACTCTATGTGTAATGTAAATTTCGGTGCTTTGGAGCACACTTTATGGAAGCAAAAGGAATGATAAATTGAACCATGCGGAATATGCCGGAACATGGAGATACATCATGTTATTTGATATTGGTCTTACGCAATGTACCATAGACATTGGGAGTGTGTTTTTAGTGGTGGTGGTGGTGATGGTGATCCGGTGGTTATTTTGTTTATTGCATGCGTAACGAGTAAAAGTGTCATCGTACATCGTTTTTCGCTGGAATCCAATTTCGAATTAGTCATTTGGGTTTTTTGACCGCATCGACGTAACCATGAACGCCATGGATATGATGACCAATGAACCGTCTTCGTGCCACACAGAGCCTACGACAATGCAAAATTGCTGATTCACATTCCAAACAACTTTTCTCATCAAACCTTTGGAATGCATTGCTTGCACACCCGTCTTTGCGTACGCTTAATTATTTATTGCCGCTCACCAGTTCTGCAGACGGTAGACATGAGCTCAAAACGTTTGTTTTTTCTCTCAATTTTGTTTACCCTTTTGCTGTGTCCCACTAGAACGATTTTATATTGCAAATGAATGTGCCGGGCTTGGCCAACATACTCCATACTTTGTTTGGGTTTCAATGCGTACGCAGTTGAAACGACAATGCAATGTCCACTTTCGTATTCATTCTTTGCACACGAACTGCACTTGGAATTTCAATTCCACTTCTCAATTTTTTCTCTTTCTCTCTGCACAGCAAATGTTTTCCTCGCAAACACTGCGGACGCTTTATCGTTTTATGGGGATCGAGTGAAAATGCTGTTTACAGGTGCATACACAATTGAAATTAGCAAACAAAATGCACGGCGTGTAATTAAATTGAACGACATTGATGCATACAATGTTGTCACGCACTCTCATATCGCATTCGGTTCCGAAGAGAATTTTCCTATACATTTCTTGTTCGCTGTGAACATTTTCAAAACTTCTATTCACCTTGTTTTTTTGATTCTACTCAATATTCTATTACGATGCATTATACTTTTGCGCGAAAGCTTCCGGTATTTTTCTGGTGCACTGCACAATGCACATCTCCAAAAATCGGTCAACTCATTCTCAATTTTAATTAAATTGCCATGCAACAAGCCAGAACTGATATCGACGTGTTTAATTAAACGATTGAAAGAGAAGTAATAAAAATGCATTGTACTCGAAATGAGTCGATTGTTTCAACGATATTCTGAATAAATATTCAATTTTAGATTGCAGATGATACACACGCTTAATACTAAACAACAACACACGAAATTATTGCAATGTTTCAAATTCATAAAAGCATCCAGATGCTGCCACATCTGAAAATCTAACACATAAAAAAATCTCCAAAATTTTCAACTTGCTCTAAATAATTCATTTAATTTTCACACAGATATGGTCCACACTTTGATGACGTACACGTTGCCGAAAAAGTTGCAAATGTTTCAGCACAGGTCGGAAGCGTTGCTTATCTCAATTGCCGGATTCGTTTGCTACAGGATAAAACCGTAAATAATTTCATGACGCATTTAATGAATTAATCGTTTATTAACACACTGTGATTCAGGCGAACCGCTTTTGGTGTTGCACATAATCAGATTAGAATTTTACGTTATGATCTCTCTCTCTCTCTCTCGCTCGCTGTCTCTAAACCATTTTAACCCCAAAAGCGGCTCGGCCAGAATTTGGGTGGTGACACTTTTTGGAATATTTATACGAGCCGGAGATCCGTTTGCTTTCGCTTCAGTTGAATATCACAAAAGAAAACGACACTCCAATAAAATGGATTTAAAGCATTTTTCAATTTTCACCACATTTCAGGTAACCTGGTTGAAACGTGAACAGAATAATTCCCACATTCAACTGCTGACAATCGGTGTGCACACCTACACGTTCGATAAGAGGTTTAGCGTTGAATTTGAATACCCAAACAATTGGCGACTCCGAATTACCGACATCAACAAAACCGATGGAGGGCTTTATGAGTGTCAAATATCAACACATCCTGTGCGAGCATTCCGTACACAATTGCACGTCAAATGTAAGCCATTTTTATAATAATTTTCAATTTTTTTTTGGTGCTGCAGATAAGTTTGATGTTCACGATTTTAATGGTAACGTGTCAGTTTGGAGGAAAAGTGTGCAACAATTTGTTTATCTCACATTTGGAATGGGTTTTATGAAAAGAGCACAACTTAAAACTTGTGCCATATGAAAAGGAAGGAAATAACATAAAAAAAAGCTAAAAAGGAAACAACAGCCATCACATTTGCAAATGGACTGTTGAGTGCAACAGAATATAACAATAGCATTCAGTCCGTTGGATATGTTAACATGCCCATCCGATGCCAGACAGAAGTCGTTGCTTTCTGTATACATGTTCTGCTGCAGGCTCTTAACATATAAAATACACACATCCGAATACAACCGACTAAAGTAACCGAGATACAGTGGCTTCAATCATCATCACACCCTAGATTTTCCTCGATTGCATTTCACAATTTTTTTTTTCTGTATATGGAATAACTTTCACAAGGGATACAGTTTTTGTCAGTTTTTTTTAACATTTTAATTTCACTTTAATTTCCGCGCCAACGTTGAGAGTTGAAAAGCAATTTTATTGTCGCAATTTCTAGAAATGTAATTCAATTCAACTTTGAACACATCAATTACTTGTGGCTTTAAGCAATTAATACGAAAAACGATTGTTTTTTTTCGATATTTTCATTTGCGATTGGTTTTATTCGATAGTAAAATCAATTTGACGGTTTAAATGCGAAAACATACAGACCTAATTTCTGTCTCTTTGTGGCGTGATTTCCAATTCATAAAGCACATAATTTCATTTTGAAATAATTGTTCAGCTTCAAATGGGAAGGATTTTTTTGCTATCTTTCCGAATTAGTGAGAATTCATTCTAGGGCAATTATATTATAAAGCGTAAAATTATCGATTGATTAATGGTTTCGTCGCAATTTGGTGCACCGATAAAAACTTGATAAACGCACATGAAATGGTGCACAAAAGTCTCGCCGCAACGAAGAGCGATCAAAGAATTCAAACTCATTAAAATCCAGCTATGTTTTTTTGCTCTCTCTCTCTCTGTCTCTCTCTCTCTCTCCATTTAACTTTCAGCGAAACTTCGTTCATTCAATATTTTAACTTTGGTTGTTTGATTTTAATTTTCATTCGGTTCGATGTGCTGTTTCGCATTTTTTGTTCGTCTCTCCATTCGGACCGTTTGATTGAAACTAAATGAAATGCGCGCGTCTGTTCGCACTTGTATGTACTGAACCGAAGTTTAATTGACGATTTGACGCGGTGCACCACATCGCATTGCTATCGATGCTCCAGTTTGTGTTATTTCAACGGGATTTTTCTTTTCGCCCTTTTTCTTGGTGTGCTTCATCACTTGCATGAATCGAGATAAATTAAAGTCGACGAATAAATTAAACTTTAGCAAAAATAAAACAATTAAAACGAGCTATTGACAAAGTTTTCCATGCAATTCTTAATGGTGTGTGCTGTGTGTTGTGTATTTGTGTTGGAACAACGAAACGACGAACACTTTTTTACAACGAGGACAAAGCATTTATGCCACAAACATAAACATAATATAATTGTACGGTTGATGCATGAGCACGAAATGAACTTAGCCATGTGCAACGTTTATAAACGTTAAAATATATTTTTATAAAAACAACGTTCAGAACTCTCAGTCGCAGAACGGAAATTGAACAAATTGTTGATAAATTCGCATATGAAACGATGAAATATGTCAATTTTATGATAAATATTTACTTTGTCTACAGCGTAGTGTGTACTCTACACTCGCCATGACGCCATATCTTCTGAAAAATAAATGATTGCGTCTCTTTATTCTTGTTTCTCTTGTAGCACCGGAAGTGTACATTGTTGACGAGTTCAAACAACCTATTGTTGACAAATACTATCAAGTTGATTCGACCATTGAACTGATGTGCATTGTACGGCATGTATCGATGCTTTCATCCACAGTGAATTGGCTGCACGGCAACAAATTACTAAATTTTGACATGACACGCGGTGGTATTAGGTAAGCCAACTCAATGAATATTATGATTTGACATTTCTCATTTAACAAATGGCAATGCGGTTGATTGTACTGTGTTGCCACAGCCACAGTCTGAAGATGAAGTACCCAAAATTATTTACCAAATTTTCACATTTGACCAACACTGGTTAATAAAAACCAGTTGAATTTCGAGTTTTCACATACATTTCTATCCAATGGAAGGTCCCAGTTGCCCAGAGAGAGAGAGAGAGAGAGAGAGAGAGAGAGAGAGAGA